TTGGGGGAGGGGCAGAGAGAGAGGGAGAGAGAGAACCCCAAGATTATCTGACAGTGCAGAACGTGATGCGGGGCTCTATCTGACGAACTGTGAGATTATTACCTGAGCTGAAATCAAGAGTCAGGTGCTTAACTGAGCCACACAGGTGCCCCATATATATAACTTTATATCCTGCTTTTTTAAGATATATTTTTTTAACGTTTATTTATTTTTGAGACAGAGAGAGACAGAGCATGAATGGGGGAGGGGGAGAGAGAGAGAGAGGGAGACACAGAATCGGAAGCATGCTCCAGGCTCTGAGCCATCAGCCCAGAGCCCGACGCGGGGCTCGAACTCACGGACCGTGAGATCGTGACCTGAGCTGAAGTCGGACGCTTAACCGACTGAGCCACCCAGGCGCCCCTATATCCTGCTTTTTTAAAGTTAATATTGAAACTTCTAGTAAACATTATTCTTTGTTGGATGCTTTTACCCTAACAAATGGACCACAATTTACATAGTTCCCTATTTTTGGACACTTAGTAGTCCCAATTTTGCTTTTACAAATAATGTTATTATGTAAGGTCTTGAGCATAAATCTTTGCCTACACTTCAAAATTTTTTCTTTAGGATTGGTACCAAGAATTATAACTACCAGGCTAAAGGATATATTTTTAAGATTTGTGATACATATTTCCAGATTCCTTTCAAAAAAAGTTATGAATTTACATAATTCATGAATAATCAATAGCTCTTTTGATAAATGTTTATTTTTTTAACTGCCAGTTAGATTGATAAATGTTTTATGTTAAAAACAATTAGTAGTGATTTCATGTGAATATTAGCTATGCACATTTTGCTAGTAAATGATTGTGCCCTTGTCCATTTAGATACTGGAGTCTTAAGTTACCCAGGCATTCACTTGCTTTTAATAGACAGTGGGTTCAAGATATTCCAGGGATTTGGGGTCTAATCTGAATCTTAGGGAAAAATCTTTTTAACACAGCACATCCTAAGTAGATTAAGTTGACCGTGTTTCGGATATTTAATTTCTTGGATAAGAGGAAGACTTGGAGCCTAGTAAATTACTGGGTAGTCTTCTTCTTTTTTTTAAAGCTTTATTTATTTATTTTTTAATGTTTGCTTGTTTGTTTGTTTTCAGAGAGAGAGCAGGGGAGGGGCAGAGAGATAGGGAGACAGAGAATCCCAAGTAGGTTCTGTGATGCCAGCACAGAGTCTAATGTTGGGCTCAAAGTCATAAACCATGAGATCATGATGTGAGCCAAAATCAAGAGTTGGACACTTAACCAATTGAGCCACCCAGGTGCCCAGGTTGTTTTCACCTTTGACTGTTGCAAATAATGCTGCTATGAACATTGATGTAGAAATATCTGTTCAAATCCTTGCTGTCATTTTTTGAGGGTATATACTCAGAAATGGAATTGCTGGATTATAAGATAATTCTATATTCAATTTGGCGGGAAGCTGCCATACTGTTATCCATGGCAGCTACACCATTTTTCATTCTATTTGGTTTTTTGGTGTTGAGCTATATGAATTTTTATATATATGTTCTGGATATTAATACCTCATCAAATGTATGATTTGTCGATATTTTCTCCCATTTGGTGGATTGTCTTTTTACTTTCTTGGTGGTATTTTTGATGCACAAAAGTTTTTAATTTTGTTAAGTCCAATTTGTCCATTTTTTTTTTTAATTTTTTTTTCAACGTTTTTTTAATTTATTTTTGGGACAGAGAGAGACAGAGCATGAACGGGGAGGGGCAGAGAGAGAGGGAGACACAGAATCGGAAACAGGCTCTGAGCCATCAGCCCAGAGCCTGACGCGGGGCTCGAACTCACGGACCGCGAGATCGTGACCTGGCTGAAGCCGGACGCTTAACCGACTGCGCCACCCAGGCGCCCCGTGTCCATTTTTTCTTTTATTGCCTATGCTTCTGTCATATTCACAAAATCATTGCCAAATCCAATGTCATGAACATTTCCCACTGTTTTCTTGTAAGAGTTTTATAATTCTAGCTTTCAAATCTTTGCTTCATTTTGAGTTAATTTTTGTATATAGTATAACGTAAGGGTTCTGAATAGTTTTTAATATTGTCAATATAATTGACAGGACAATGGAAAGTTGGTGGAAGGAGAAATGAGGTATCTGGGCAGTCCCATTACTACACTTCAAAAATTGGATAAAAATTCAGAACTAGAAGAACACCAGGCAGAGGAGATTTCAAATGAATTGATGGAGTTTTCTCTGGAAGATCAAGAAGAGATCAAGGTAAAATGCTCCCCAGTATCTTTGCATTTTCCATATTCCTTCATTCTTGAATTAACAATGTTGTGTATATACTGGGTTTCAGTCACTTACTAAGTAGTAGGTCTGCAGAAATCAAGAAGACATGATCTCTAAACTCTAAGGGCTACCCGATAGGATATCAGGTAACTATGGGATTCTTATTACTGCTGGGTGAGAAGGTTCCAGTTAGTAGTTTGAGTACCTCACCATCAATGTAACTTGGTGTAAATGATGGCTCCAGGATAATAGTAATGGATGGAACATACCTAGCATGATTTTTCAGGTATTTTACAATATATCCTTTTGTCTTTTATCCTCCTCATGTCAGTGGGAGGCATACCTGAAGCCTGTGGCTTATTGGCCATATACTGAGCCAGTATATTGCTTTCTGCTCCTAAGCAGCTTCCGTACTGTCAGCACAGAGCCTGATGTAGGGCTCAAACCCAGGAACCATGAGGTCATGACCTGAGCTGAAATCAAGAGTTGGAGGAGCGCCTGGGTGGCTCAGTCGGTTAAGCGGCCGACTTCGGCTCAGGTCATGATCTCGCGGTCCGTGAGTTCGAGCCCCGCGTCGGGCTCTGTGCTGACAGCTCAGAGCCTGGAGCCTACTTCAGATTCTGTGTCTCCCTCTCTCTGACCCTCCCCTGTTCATGCTCTGTCTCTCCCTGTCTGAAAAATAAATAAACGTTAAAAAAAAAAAAATTAAAAAAAAAAAAAGAAATCAAGAGTTGGAAGCTTAACCAACTAAGACACCCAGGTGCTCTATAGCTCTTAAATTTGGGTCTTGGTCCATTTTGATTTAATTTTTGTGTGTAGTGATAGGTAAGGGTCCAATTTCATTCTTTTGCATGTGAATATTCAGTTATCCCAGCACCATTTGTTGAAAAGACTGTCTTTTCCTTGTTGAATGGTCTTGGCTCCCTTGTCAAAAATCATTCGACCATATGCATGATGATTTATTTCTGGACTCTATTCCATTCCATTGGTCCATATGTGTATCTTTATAGCAGTACCATAGTTTTGATTACTGTAGCTTTGTAGTAAATCATTTTAAATATTTTTTATTCCACAAATTATACCTGAATATATTCTTCTTAAAAAAAAAAAATAACAGGGACGCCTGGGTGGCGCAGTCGGTTAAGCGTCCGACTTCAGCCAGGTCACGATCTCGCGGTCCGTGAGTTCGAGCCCCGCGTCAGGCTCTGGGCTGATGGCTCGGAGCCTGGAGCCTGTTTCCGATTCTGTGTCTCCCTCTCTCTCTGCCCCTCCCCGTTCATGCTTTGTCTCTCTCTGTCCCAAAAATAAATAAACGTTGAAAAAAATAATAATAACAACAACCTGTAATAGCTGAGGCTAACCCTATCTGATCACTATTGAAGAGCAACTTTGAGATTATCTGAGATTATCTGGGATTATAGGGAAAAGTCAAGAGTGTGGGAGTTAGTGGAACATATTGGTCTAGAAAGTAACAGACTTTGGATCCAGACTTTCTGGGTTCCATAGCTTGATTCTTTAACAATATGGGTACAGTTGTATGATTTCCCTATGCTTTAGTTTCTTAATCTATAAAAAAGAAAAAGTTTGGGTAACTATTTCATCGGGTTGTTGTGATGATTAAATGAGTTAATTGTACATAAAGCAGTTAGAACAATACTTGCTCAATTACTAATGTTTAATTATTGTAATGTAGTATGAGTGCTTAATTACTATAGTGTAAGGGCCAAAATATGTGGAATTATAAAGATTGATGGAGAAGGGATGCTCAATAGCCTTGATGTCCTAAGTGAAGTGAAAGTTGCAGTAATCTCATGACTCAGTGGTGAGTGTTACGTGACAGTCATGAAGAATTTAGAGAAGGTTATAATCAACTTTCGGAAACCACAGAAGGGAATTATTAAAAGGCTAATAAAATGATATTTGTGCTGTTTTATATGATAGACCTACATGGCATAGTGTGCTGTTGCCTAGAAGCAAGACTGGGGACTTTGGAACTCCAGAGATGATTAAGAGAGGGCTGTAGGGTGCTAATGGCAGATGAAAAAGGGGTTGAGTTAGTCTAGGTGATGGTGAAGGTAGCAGAGAAGTAGAAGATGATGAATCAAAACCTGGATAAGGAGCCAAATGTCTCACTGAGTAGACTCAGTAAAGTAAAAACAGTAATGTGGTTGAAAGTTGCTGAGGAGCAAGAAGTGCCTAGTTTAGAAAGCTTTGAGAACTAGGGGAAAGTTTAGTCAGTTTGAGAGCATGCCAAGTTTGAATTCTTGATAGTAGAGTAATAGAGGATAGTTGCAGATCTTTTTCTTTTTGTTTTGTCTTTTTTTTTTTTTTTTTTTTTTTTTTTTTTTTGGTCCCTCTTTGTCAAGAGGCTAATGTGGAGTGCGGGAGAAGCTTGGTGCAACTATTGAGGAGTTGTGAAGTCACTGTCCAAAGGGTTTTCAGTTTTCAGAACACTGTGAGTTTGAGGAGAGAAGAAATAGGGATTTTAGTGTTGTTGGTGTAACAGACTAGACTGGAAAAGAAAAATGAGAGCCAGGTAATAATAGTAGGTCCCATTTATTGACTACTTAGAGTGTACTGGGCATTGTGTGCTGAACAGTTTATATCCGTCATTGCACTTAATTTTCATGTCAGTCCTGAAATATGAGTGTGATGCCCCTTTATTTTCTTTCTTCTCTCCCTTTTGTTCTTTCTTTAGTCTTATCTTAGGAGGAGAACATCTGGCCATGGGATAAAGGCTCTTACCCAAGGTCACAAAATTAGCCATTGGCAGTGTCAGGATTTAAGGTGAGATCTGCCTGACTCCTAGCTGGTGTTTCTAGCAGTATTTGGTGTCTTTTATGAAGATACCTGGAAGGTGAAAGTTGTCCCAGGAACATGTAGTAATGACATTTGCTTTTTGAGTAGGGTTGGTAAGGTTGAATAGTCACAGTTTGAATGAATTGAAGTGTTCAGGAGGATGGTGAATCAATTTTCTAGAACACTGCTGTTCTGTAAAACTTCCTGAGATGATGGAAATGCTTTATATCTGTCCAATACAGTAGCCCTATGTGCGTTTTGAGCACTTAAAATGTGGCTAGTGCAACTGAGACACTGAATTTTTAATTTTGTTGAGTTTTTAAAAAAATTTTTTTTAAAATGTTTATTTTTGAGAGAGACAGAGACAGAATGTGAGTAGGTTAGGGGCAGAGAGAGAGGAAGACACAGAATCCGAAGCAGGCTGTAGGCTCCGAGCTGTCATCACAGAGCCCCACGCGGGACCCGAACTCACGAACTGCGAGATCATGACCTGAGCTGAAGTCAGACACTTAACCGATCAAGCCACCCAGGTGCCCCATAATTTTGTTGAGTTTTAATTAATGCAGACAACCATGTGTGGCTAGTGTTACTATAATGGGTAGTGCAGATCTAGAATCTTCTAAACATATGGTCCCTGGAGCAGTAGCATCAGTGTCAGGTAGGAATTTCGTAGCAGTGCAAATTTTGGGGCCCTATCCCAGAAACTTTGAATCAAAAAACTGTAAGGGTGGGGCCCAGTAGTCTGTTTTAACAAAGCTTCCAAGCGAATGTCATTGGTTTGTAGGAAAACAGCAGAACCAAGATATGATCTGAAGGAGACAGGGTGGGTATTGAGAGAATTGATGTTGACCTTCCTGAAACAAACATTATTGAGGGCTAACTGGTAATGGAGGGTAGATCTGTGGAAAAACAGCAAGTTTAGGCATAGTTAGCATGGGGAAAGGTTCCTAGGCCTTCTGGAGAAAAACAAAGAGCAATATAGAGTGAACATTTAGTGGTGTTCTTAGAAATATATATTAGTCTTCATGTTTGCAAAATGTAGCTAAAATAGTCAAGTCTCAACTAGTATTAGCTTAGGGAATTAATGTTGATTAAAAAGAAAAATTTTGTTTTCAATTTTATTGTTGAAAATTTATCTAATGTGTTTAATCTGCTTTTATGAAATAAGTACAATGAACATAACGGAAATTTTTCTTGTCTTTGAAACATCATTGTGAATTGTATAATATAGACAGTATGGAAGAATGGATTTAAAATAGACGGACCCTAGGAAATACTCTAGAGAGTATGTTTATTTACATGGAAGAGTAGCATATGGCTGTGAGATATTTATTTTGTCTTTAAAAAATAATAATTCCCTTTAAGTGCTCATTTTAATGTATTGTGACTCATATAACATTTTCAGTTGAGGGCACACTATATAAGAATATGCATAGCAGTAGGTTTTAGAATAGAAAAGGCATAGGGATGTTTGTTTGGGGTTTACATTCTTGATGCTAAATGGAAATAGATACCTGATAGAATAAGGAGATTTGTGTAACCTCAGTGATTTTTGATTAATTCATTTAAAAAATATTTATTGAGTACCTATTAAGTGTCAGATACCATGTTAGTCACTGGTGATACAATAATAAACAATACATACTAGGTTTATGGTCTCTTGGAGTTCGTATTCTTGTCAAAGGGATATCAACAACAACAAACACATGTTTGTCAGGGTAATGCATGTTCTAGTTAGAATTCTTGGCTGCAATTAAAAGAAACTGATTACTACTTACCTTAGGCAGAAAAGGGATTTTTCTGGAGGGTATTGAGGAGCTCAGAATTGCTAGGAAGGCTGGAAAACAAGGTAAGGCCTGGCTACAGTGCTGCTATGGGGTCATTGTTCTCAGGACATTACCACCAGCTGCCTGGACACTTAATGTCACCATTACTGAACCCCCTGCCCCATGATGTAATCCCACCTGATGCTAGACTCTTGCTCAGGGACATTTGCTGCCACCCACTATATTCTCAACTGTGATGCTGCAACCATAAAAAAAAGTCTCAACCAACCCTTTGCTTTTTTTGTGTTGTTCCTCAAGTTTCAAAATGCAGTCAGGAATATCCGGTTGACTATAAAAGAATGGAAAAAGGAATACCTGTCCCCCTTCGGCCTTCTTATCAGGATGCAGGACTGCCTCCCA